TGCGAGGTTAGGAACGTGCTGCTCCTCCGAAGATAAGCAGATACAAAACATGGACGAAAATTACGAATCGTTGTATGTAGTCCATGTCATGTCCAAGTACAAAATTAAACCATTTTCAAAGGGAGGGGGGGGGGTTAATTCTCGTCAATAGAACACGAGTCTTGTGCTTTATATATATGCATTGCATGCCTGAATATGATCTATTTTGTACCTGCGACACAGTCGAGAGGGCCTTTGGGTCGTAGACTTAATCTTCTTCTTCTGAATTTTTTTAAACCGAGGCTGACGCAGGTGTTATTTAACCCTGACCCTGAACTGGTAAGAGTTTTGCGAGACAACCATCAAAACATTTGAATTTTCAGAGAAGCTTATAAAGAGATGAAATGATTATGTATTCAAGACAAACCGAACTGCATAATCACATCCTGATGAAGCAGCGCAAATACTCATTTGCGAAAAAATTCGTTGAAGTACACTGTATCAATCGCGAATATTTAAAGCTAATATTTAAACCTTTTTACCTTTAAACGGGGCGTAAGCATAGGCAAAGTTACTTTAACGCGTGATTTCGCGGTTATCTTATCTTAGTTTGTATAATAGAGGCGGTTTGCATGAAGTTCAAGGTTATCATATGGGGTTAGACATGAATACTGATTATATAAATGATAAATAAGCACAAGACAGGAAATATGTCTGCTCTCAAAATAGCATGGTTTTGATGTTTTTTTTCTTCCATTTTGAATCTTTATAAATTTTTCGCTGACCTTTAAAACTTGGTTTTAAAATCATAAGTCCTCCTGTCGACGTAAGTAGTGAACATGAGTGACGTCGACGACGCACACATTTTGTGTGATAGCCTATTTGCATAGCTGTTTCGTGCGACATTTAATTGACTTACTTTTTATGTCTTTCCATACTTGGATGGGAGAGGGGGCATGGTATAAAGCAGTGAAAATGTTGGACTATAGGCAGAATTACATGCAAAGATTACACAAAATGTGATCGACAGTGGCGTGACTCAAGTATCCACTTTTTTTTATAATGACTCTATTCTGGGGTAAAAAAAGGTACAGTTTGATATTTGTGGGGGTGGACTTAACTCGTTGGTTACCGAGTACCGGGTCCATGGGATTCAGGTGTCTAAAATATTCAGTATACGTCCGGTTTGTTTCTAGTTGACATGTGTGTCAGGAAATGGAAAAAGCGATCATAAACAAGGTCATCAAAAATACTTTTTGCTGCATATCAAACGTTAGAATAAACACAGGAGTGTACCGTTAGTAAGTGCAACAAAGTCACAGCAGCCAAAACACCTACTCCGGTACACGACATATCTAGGACAACCAATCAGCGTCGGCCTTGCGCAGAAGTAGGCGTGGAAATCGCGTATAAATACAGCGCCCGTGCTTCATATCTTCCCACCTGTAACGCTGTCTCCGCTGGTTAGACATCAAATCCATCCAGGATCGAGGAATCACAGCACTTTACTCCAGAATGCCTCACCTCAAAGAATTCAGCAGCATTGACAAGAGGTATTTCACCACCAATCAGGTATGTTAATTCTTACCATACTGCATGCACTACAGATCGGTACGGGGTTCGTCGCGAAAATTGTATTTAAGAAAACATGTCCTTGTCCTAATTATGCGCGATTTTATGCAACATATTGCAGTATATTTGAATTAAATTGAATTAATTCGGAATTACGTTTTTCGACATTGCACTTTCGCTGTGAAAGTGACTGTATAGAATTGATGCTCGTTTAATGAGGTCCTTCATGCCACTTCACAAAACCATTCACTTATAAAACTTAAAAAGAAAAAGAAAAAAAGTGTGGTATTTAATATAAACCGGTTACTGCCGCAATTGAAGATTTCCGCCTATTTTTGCAGCACAATAATAGTGTATAGCATGCTCTATGGTGGTTGGAGATCTAAACTTAGAGTGAACTACAAAAGATAAAGTTGGTAGGCTAGGTGAAAGGGTGGGAGGGGTTCAGGCACAGTAATAATTTCAGTTCTCTGGTGGAATTTGCGGGAATTGGAGAGAGCTACTGAAATTTAATATTATAACTATTATTAATATTATTTTATTTATTTATCTATTTTTTGAGGGGTGGGGGAGATTTGGGAGGGAAATTTTCGTGGATTGTAATTAGTAGTGAGACCTGACTTTCCTTTTCAGGCCTCTGGTGGAAATGGCGGAACGCCGTTCACGTACGTAAGGCTGGACGACGGCGCCATTATGACCAGGCTTAAAGCCTGGAAAGACGATTGGCGTATCCGTGGAGTGGAGATGTGGATGAGCGACGGGAAGTCTCACCTTGTTGGGAAGAGATCTGGAGCTTCCAGCGAGTTTCGCTTGAACAGCGGCGAGAAGCTGACCAAGCTCAACATCCAAGCCAGTGGAGAGACCAGCTCTGGCGGGAATCATCGTCTCGGCGCCATCTGGTTGCAGACGGACAAAGGGCGCGATTGGGGAATCTTCTCACGTTGGTTGGATGAAAACGGCCGTTATTGGCCGGATGTGGGCTCTGGCATCGTCTGCGGAATGTTCGGCGCCGGGGGCGAGGACGTCGACAGCCTGGGGTTCGCCATACTGCATCCAATTAAGCAGGCACGCTTGGTGGACGTCACCTACCCAAATCTTGACACGGAAATTGTCGCCTCGGTTCCGGAAACCGTCGTCCAGCAGAGGATCACCAACGAATCGTCCGTAGAACAGACCTACACCGTGAAGGGTTCCCGATCCGTCACCGTTACGCGACAGTGGAGCATTACCACCGGTTTGGAGTACTCTTTGCAGACAACAGTCTCCGGGGGTATCCCAGGGGTTGCAGACGTCGAGGCCAGTTCAACCTGGAAGGTCACCGCGAGTGCCTCATACGGGAGGTCCACAACGACAACGGAACAGCGCACGTGGGAATGGCCGATCAAGTGCCCTCCAAACCGAAAGCTGTATGCCACGGGAACCATGTACGCCGACTCCATAGACACGGAGTACAAGGCCAACATGCAAATCGACCTTCTTAACGGCAACAGCTACAAGTACAGCGTGGAAGGGATCTATGACGGCATGAATGCTCGCAGTGGGTCGGTCAAGATTGATGACTTGGGCCCTTGCAATTAATCAGTCAACATTGATGTTACGACTTTTAGGTCGATGACGTCACACTTGCACCTGCCTATGTGACGTCAGGGACCGTTGCAGCAATGCAAACCGATAATTCACGCCTATAACTTTTGCACAATTCAAACGTGTTTCAGAGCATTTTTTCGCATAAATGACGCAATTTAGTGATAAATTAGAGACTGATCATTATTTCAGTTAAACAATCAGGCATTCATATTGAAAAACAAGAGTACATGGCTGAATAGTGACAAAATCCGCTTAGTGAATGTGCCTATAAATATATTTTCACTTATTCAACATTCTTCTTTGCGTAGAAACGCTTTTCTGGGCCATTTTTGTAGATGTGGACAGTGTGGTTAAAACCACAATATTAGCAATGGAGATATACCACAGAAACATTCAGTACGAGTGTCATTTGCACCGATATTTAGTGTGTGAACTGTGTTGAGAGCTGGTTTGTTATCTTAAATCATTCTATTTATCTCTTCAGTTGGCCAAGGAAAAAAATCCAGCAGCGTGTAGGTTGCATTCTCTTTGAATCATAAAGTTAACTTCCAAGAGCTGAAAAATCGCTTATTTAGGTTTCATGTATCGATGCTTAAAATCATGTAATCGGTAATTTGATCAAAACTAAATGAAAAAAAAAAAAAAAAACTCGGTATTTATACAATGAGAATAGAAAATTTGGCATTGAAACTCGAAAGTGACGGTTGGACAGATCTGAAATAATCCAGTGTCATATTTGCGCCTCCTGTTACTAAGTTTTCGCAGGCAATTAAATAAACTATAACATTATCATTTTCTGGTATATTTGTCTTTCTCTGTACCATTATTTTACACCTTTATTGATTTGCTAACTAATTCTGAAGAAATAAAATGCTTTACTAACGTAGTCGGGATTATTAAATCTTTTTTTTTTTTTTTGCATAATTACCCTAATGTACCATTTCCTATCTAGTTTTGAGTCAATCGTAACGAAGATAGAGTCACGTGAATTTCATTTGTGACAGTAAAATTCGAAAATTGAACTGGGAAATGAGTTAATAATCTAAAAGCGTACAAACATACCTGTAAATTCTCCGGGTTTGGCGTATCCATGACGGCCACCGAGGAAATGGCCGACCAAGTAGAAGCGTGTTGTACGTCGTGGCATCTTTTGTTTACAGATTTTACTAAAAGAAGTATTAATATTGAAGGGCGTTAACCGCACTAAATGCGCCAATTTTTTGCAGGTCGTCAGTAAAAGGCAAAACACTTTGCCTTTCGGGATAATTTATACCTTAATTCTAACCAACAGAAAGGCCTATATTGCCGGTAACAAGGGTATTTGACCTTGGCGTTTTTGAAGGGACAGCCTTGGTTGCTTAGCAGTACTCACTCGCGCTCTTCTACCTTTCCTATGATAGTAACGGTCAAAGTCAAAAGAGAATATGTTCCGGTCTAAATATTTAAATCATGGCACATTGGTAAGGAATATGACGTTAACGGACAAGTAATATCTTTGGGATATTTGGAGTTCATATTTCACACTCGCAAAAATGGAACAGCATGCTCGTATCTAAACATAGTTTCCGGTCAGACCATATGGGCTAACACCGCTAGCACGTTTTCTCTATACTACTGGTATAGATTATTATAGTATTTCATGATAATGTTGGCATCTATAGCATTGAATGGCGCGAAAGAGGCAGGATCCTGAACAAAAATGTTCATCACCTTGGAATTGATAAAGTAATTTTTATTTGCTCTAACCGATACAGATACAGAAATACATGCAAAATTACAAAGGCGTTAAACTACTTTTTATCTCCTACTTTTTTCTTCTCCCTCCCTTTACAGTCAAATCCTCAAGACTAGTAAAAACAGGGTTTTTTTTCAAACTTTTCTCAGTCTAATTTCAGTAAACCGGCTGTGGTATAATTCAGTCTTGGCCCAGCACAACGGGTGATTTTTTTTCAAAGTTTTTGGAGCCATGAGCATATCTTCCCACTCACTTATGTTTTAAGACAATGGGCCACATATATAACTGTAAAATCCCCAGGTTACCATAAAATTCAATTCTGAACCAGCCACAGAAATGCAGCAAACTCTCTGCAATTTCTTTTGTCAAGAAAACTCAACATCAACAGCAGGCCTCCTGTCCCATTGGACAACATCCAAATCACAGGATTGATAGATGGCGCTATAACCAAGAGGCTAAAACCACTGCGTCTGATCACTCTTGGCCAGGAAATGGCTACTCAATCAATACAACCCAATCCATAACCAGGACAGTGCTAGTCCAAAGCTTTCTTGTACCAGAACCTTGCTCTGAAGTCATCGCTGCATGTCAGGAAGGCGGGGCCAGTGGGGGAGTGAACGATACAAGGTATTACATTGTTATGACCTGAAAATAATCGATGAGAGCATCATAAATTTAAAGGAAGAAAAAATAAAATAAATAAAATAAAATAAAACTAGAAAAGCACTCCAAGAGCGCAAACCTCCGCCAAGTCAGCAATTTTGATTATTATCGATTATTGATTGATTATTGATCCGGATCACCACCAATAACTAATCACTTATAAGATAACATATTTGTAACAAAATTTCATCAAAATCAGTCAATAACTTTTTGAGTTATGTTGATGACAAACAAACAGACAGACAGACAAACAGGGGTGAAAACATAACCTCCTTGGCGGAGGTAATAAAATAAAATAAGCATAATAATAATTTCCATATCACTGCCAGGCCAAATTGACCAAATTTTACATGACAGGTAAAAGGTTTTAAAATTGATACAAAAATTAGAAATTTATTCTGCATTAATACCAAATTGAAGCAAAAAATTGAAAGTACTCAAATATGCTGTTTGGTAGTTAAAGCCCTAGGATAAAGAAACATTTTGGCCAGTGATGGTAACAATATTTGCATTATATATAATAAAAATAATAATAAAACTCACTGAGAGCAAGAAGCTTTTGCCTGTCAGCATTTCTAGAGTCCCAGCAACACAAACTAGTGGTGGCCTCATCAGGGAATAACACTGTGGAAAGATACAAGATATTGTATTCTTGTCCGTTTGTGCATGCATTTGCATGTGTGTGTGCATGAGTGTGCATGTCTGATACCTATCCATAATATAAACAAAACAATGTAAAAATTATCATGTGTTAAATTATGTTACAGAATACAGAATGTTAGTTGCAAAAGGGTATTTCTATGTAGCATTGTGTGATATGTGAGTGTGTTGTATATATATATAAGAATTTGTTACAAGTAACATTTGGTAAGATTTGACAGTGTACTAAGTATGACAGTGTGTCGAAAATGACAGTGTCTTACAGGTGGCAACGTGACAGGGTGTTACAGGTGATAAAATATTAGACACGACAGCGCCCTATGTACACCAGTATATCCCTCACCATAATCCTCAGTATGATTAAAAACTGCCTGTGTCCTGTGCTCCATTTTGCCTGTTGTCCCTGCCCCTGTGTAGGCTATAAGACACCTGGAGGTAGACAGCTCCCAGAGCTTCACCAGGGAGTCTTTACCACAAGTTAATACATACTGAAACAAACATATTAAAAGTACATAAGAATGGAGAGTTGATAGAGAGTAGATTCTTAGTAATGCATATAAACCTCTTCTACTAAATTAAATTTCTTATACGACTCAAATAAAGTCAACATGCCAATGTATAAACTGAATGAATCACTCGATCAGCCATAGAAGAGCCTTAAACATCTCCTTTCTTTAGATTTTGGGTTGTAAATTTGACCCATTTATCTGACCTACTTATCTGCCACATTTATATACAGCAAAGAGAACTAACAGAAAAATTTGTTCAAATATCAATTTTCAGGTAATATTAAACAATGTCCCATGGTGTTTTTCTTAGTTATGCTATTTGAAACTATATGCTGGCATTATTGAAAATACCGATTTCATATAAAACTTTAGGTCCAGACCTGTGGAAGACATGACCCCGGTATGCCAGGAGAAGATAAAATCAAGACCTATAGTACATCTGTTTCTTTGCACTGCATGTGAAAAACATAAAACATAAAAGATAATAACATTGAGGCTTATATACCTTTTAAATGACTGGTCAAATGGACCAGTGCAAAAAATCCCCAATTTTTTTTTTTCATTTTCCTCACCTTAGAATTTCTTGAGAAGACTGCAGAGCACACCTCGTGCCCGTCATGTGCACGTTTGAAAGTGTTGACGCACTTATTACTGACACCATCCCACAGCTTCAAATCTCCATCTTTAGAAGATGATACATACATTTTAGCACACGGACTCCACTTCACCTGTAATGAAGAATTATAAATAAATAAATAAATATACTGTAATAAGCAAATTCAGACATGATATCAATATAATGAATGCATTGAATCCTTTAATTTAGAAACCAGTGTATTTATTGAGGATATCACTGGACAAACAATCAATTTTTTTTCACAAAAATTGTCCAAAGACTACACTAGCACTACGGCCTGAAGAAAACAGTCAAAAGTGCCATGAGAGAGGTAATAGATTTTTTTTCATAATTCACTGTCAATCAAAGTAAATATTTTGCCAAACCTTAAAATATGTTTGAAAATTATTTTGCTGAATATTTTACCTTCTATATCAGTCACTGCAAAGGACTGTTTAAATAAATAAATAAATAAATAAATAATCCATACTCACACTTGTAACAGGTGCTGTGTGTTGTTCTTTGGGATTGCTGGCAACAAAACATTGGAATGTATTCACATCATAAAGGCGCACTAAAAAACAATAAATATTATGTACTTGTGCATCACATGGATCCATCTGGCTAATTCCAGATGACAAACCAATCAGAAAATTTGATTTATTTAATCTATTTATCATGGTTAAAGATATATCAATTTATGAAGTAATGTCAAGTATCAAGTGACTGAGCCTCTAAATCTTTACATATAAGACAACGATCACCAAATTGAATATAATAAATACACAAGCTGGACATTAAAAAAATAAATAATATTGTTACATATTTTTTTGAAAATCATGTTTAATATTGTCATCTGCATATATAATTATATAATAACACAGTAAAAGGGAAATTTGAAGCCTTGTTTTAGATTAAATTTCTAACATTAATATATAGATCCCATATTTAACTAAGTAATTATTAATCTTAGTTTTTTTTTTTTGAATACCAGGAAGTGGCCTGTACAGAGTTTAGTGCGTTTTTTTATCACCTGTGGGATGCTGCGTTCCAACAATTAGATAGTCGCCAGATGGATGAAAATTCAAACATCGTACAGGAGAGGCCTCTTGGATACTTTTGAAAGCCTTCTTCACGGATGGCTTTGAAAACTCGAAGAATTTGACTCCATAATCTTTGCTGCCTGAGACTAAGACTTGGCGATAGGGGTGAAAATCTACACATGTCACCTCCTGTAATAATTCAAATAATAATATAAGATCAACTTGAATAGTTAAAAAGTTTACAGATTAGGATAACATTTAATTTATTAAGTTATTACAAAATAATTTTTGTCTTCAAAAATTAACAAGAACATAATGTGTTTTGTGTACCTTTTTGGAAATAAAATTTTATATTTCTTTGAATACAATGAAAAAAGAAGAGAATCTTATATTGTCATTCACTGTAAGATTTAAATATACAGTACTTCCTGCATGTTTGTTTGTATGTATGTCTGACTAACTGAATGATAACCAGAAACAAATGCTCTCAGAATGTTCAAACAGGTAAATCAAACAGAAAGACACACAAACAGGCAGACAGAGAATAGGTAAATCAAACATTCATACAGGAATATAAACAGGCAAATCAGGCAGACAGAAAAACAAAAATCGGACCTACAGAAAGGCAGACAAATCAGATAGGCAGAAAAACAGAAATGTAACAGACACAGAAAGAAATGCACTTTAGACAGACAGACAAATTGATGATACTGAGAGGGATGGATGGACAGAGGCAGACAAACAGACAGACATATCAGACAGATGTACAGACAGACACATAAACAGTCTTTTATCTCTTTTCAGCAAAAAATCCTCTCTGTGCACTATAGGCAAATGTGACTTCCAGTTTACCTTTCATAAACAGGGCAATCAAAAAGTCTAACAAACCATGACAGTATTACTCACATCAGTGTGGTCGTACAGAGTTCTAATGACAGGGTGGTTTTCCATCTGTTGTTGGGGGGTCTCCTGCGCCATCTGGTCAGCCGGTATGGCACTCTTGGCTAGCATACGTTCCACATCTAGAATCTAACAGAAAGAGCGTGTTCACAACAGTGGACTAACAGATCTGAGGATCAAATACAGGCAATCCACTTGAATGCTTGTTGCGTAATCCCCGCGTGGAATCTATTCAGTATTAATCCAGTATTAAGCAACAACCTTTTAAGTGGGTTGCCATATATGATCCCTGGATCTCTTTTCTGAATGCACTCAAAGAAACCAACAAGGTACAGTAATGCATTCATTCATATGGCGCTTCTTATTTCCCCCCTTGACTGTCTAACTCTATTGTTAAGCTACTTTATGCGCGGATATCTTATTAAATAATTAAGTGAAATTACTGCCACATGTTTCAAAAGAAAAATAGTAAAATTTTGCATTTGAAATGAAAAAAATTACATATAATGCATGGGAAAAAATCTATGACTGCTGCCACGGGCCAAGTGTTACAAATGCAAGGTGTCATTTTACTTTACTGACTGAACATTTTGTTGTGCAGCAGATAACAAACTTTTTCTCCCAGGCCATGTAATTTTCCCTGTTTATCATATTTTTCCTTATATAAAACTTGTTTAACTCACACAAATTCATTTCAAGAGATTCAGGATTAGGTGCAGTTGGTTGGTATATCATTTCTCTTTTGTATATAACTAGACAAAAATGTCTTAAGGCAGATGGGAAAATTACTGAGGGATCAGTCAAGGACAAATATGGATCAGAAATAATTTCTGTCATTTTGAAGCCATGTTTTCTTACTTTTATTGAGGCATCTCCTGATCCTGTGGCTATAAGCTGACCTGTAAAAAAAGTACACAATTATCTTTTTAGTTAATAAAGGCTCTTTACTTTGATATATATGAGCTTCTTTTTGTCTTCTTTTTTCAGGGAAATAATCATGACTAACATGATTTTGAATAAGTGAATATGAGTCAAGCTCACTACTAGTAGGTTTTCAGCAGAGGAGAGAGAGAGAGAGAGAGAGAGAGAGAGAGAGAGGGGAGAGAGAGAGAGAGTAGGGAGGGAAAGAAGAATCACCTGTCTTATTAAACACGCCAGCCCTGCAGGGAGCTTTGTGTGCTGTCACATAGCATGTCTCATACTGGGAGATGTCAGAGGCAAACCTCTGGACTGGAAGAAAACAACAACAATGTAAGCTAAAATGTTATTTAGCTTGGTAGTTGGATCATACAGTACATGAAAATTATGAAACACAAGCTGAAAAACTTTCATACCATTAGCTTACGGCCAGCCTGGATATATGCCCTCATCACCTAGCAGTCAGTGAGACACAACATCTACTCACATCAGTCTGATGGTTTATGTCCAGGTTGGCCGTAAGCTGAACGTATTTCGGCTTGTATGTGATAATTTTCATTTATGATTTAACAACATATTTTAGTACTTTTTTGTTCTTCCAACACTAATATTCACCTGAAGACTTACAAATATTATTCTGCAAACTCATCAAAGCTGTTAAGTTTTAATATGCTGCTAGATCATAATCATGGTTCAATTTAACAGCAATTGTGCAAATAGTCAGGAGAAACCATTTTTATTTTAAATGTTCAATCTAGGCTTTAAAATAATATTCTTATTCAAAATTCTGCAACATTTTTTTTTTCAAAAATAATATAGACACTTTTAAATCTTAATGGATGAGCAAATAGAAAGACAAAGGTTGCTACATATTTGGACATTAACAATGCTAAGTATTTTAGCATACAAATTGAGATATTTCATTCTTACCATCAGTCTCAAACTCTAGGTCAATGCCAGACCCTGGTGCTGTCACATCTCCCTTCAGCTTGTCTTGCTCACTGTTCTCTACAAATGGAGGAAACTACTCATTAGGATGAAATGTTAAGACCTAGTATTTTTCTGAAATTATATGTCAAATCTCCTAGGAGTTTCTCCCTAAATTACATTCAGCTTAAGACGCTCTGATGTTTGGCATGCCTACTGAAGTTGTTAGGGGTTATCTATCTTTTAGCTGCTTCGGTAGGTGCACCACACATCTACTAGTAATACGCTGAAACCAAATGCAATTTAGCAAGAATCCCCTTGGAGATGGCCCGATCCTGCTGGATCGCTTTAGGTATGGGAATGGGGTCTAAGTTATGACAACAAGATTACTCACCTTCCTCTGCCTGCAGTCCAAGCTTGACCACATGCATCAGTTTGTCAGAAGGTGGACAGGCTGGAGTGGCTTTGACCAAGTTGGACAAGTTGACCGCCAGACTTTGATAGCCATCATAAAACAATTGACTGAAGAAGTGGATTTGAAAAATTTTTGTTTAGCGTTTTGAAAAAAGACATCTGAACATATGAAATCTTTTGAGGATGGAATAGTGTCCTCACAGCTAGAAAAATTAGTGTTCCCACCAACTCATAAGGAAAAATTCTTGATTTTCCCTGGTGGAAGTTAAAAATTCCAGGATAATATAATATTTTTTAAAATCTATTTCTTACTTTTTAAAAACATCTTCAAGAAACTGCCAAACAATGAATGCATTTTCCCTTGACTTGAGCAACTTATTTTCAAATTTTCTGACTGGAAAAAAAATTTTCATTTTTTACGATTTTCCTGCACTTTCTCTAAATTTTCCCCGTTCATCTTAGTGAGGGCAAAACAAAAGCTAAGATTTGCAGTTTTAATAGGTAGATCACAATCCGCTAGGGGCGCTACAGTCGTAACTATCCACGGGCAGTGAAGTGTTAAACTGAAGTCGGCCTGCTGACAGTTCGCCTATGGAACCCCTTTTTTAAATCTCTCTTTTAGCGCTGCGTAAAAAAACTAATACAAGCCATTAACTAAATAAGTTGTAAATCAAAGAGTAAAATCCGGTCACATGATTTTCCCATGTTGCAGTCTTTGACAAGTTTCGGTTCTGCTTGTTTTAAGTTTTGCCTCTACAAAATGCTAAAAAATTTCAGGTAAGTGCTGGTATCATCTTTTTGAAATTTATATCCAGCAAAGTTTATGAAATTTGCTATATTATGTAGAAAAATCATGAAATTTGAAGGTTGCGAAGTATAGTTAATTTAATCCGCAATATTACATGATGTGAAAATTACCACAGGGAAATAGCTCTGCCCTGATTAGTCACAGGCTATGTGAGCCAGACAATAGGCTGAGCACACAAAGACACACAGGGTGCTCTGCTGCGCCTGAGTGATCACTGCTGGTCAGTGGGCACAGGTTTTGAGCTGAGAAGTGTGGACACTTTTGGTGGATTTTTGCAGTTAAAAAACTTCAATATCTTTGTTGCTTGTAGGAATATTTAAAAAATTCCCAATGATTTCATCCGGTTTTTGCATTATCTTTCAGATGATATAAGTATTTTAATTTTCTGATCAGTTTGAAAATTTTTCTGATATACCTAGTTTTAATGTCAAAGAAAACCAGGTCAAGTGTAGGTTATTTTCCTGTTGCAGATTTAAAAAATGCTACATTTTGAAGTGCACGTTCATCTTTTTAGCAGTGCATGCAGCTTCTGAACAGTCGCAAACACAATGCAAAAACATGAAGCCCAAAACAATGACGCCTATCATTATCAAAACAGCTAGGAGTCCTAACGCTTCTACCGGCGAGCTGCATCTTGGCATCCTTCCAGATAAATTCGTTACTTTTTAGGAGAGGATATTCAAAGCATACCTGATGACAAGTCTATACATATATTGTCTGTCCTTAACGTCCACTGAACTGGACATGATTGTGAATTTAGGAACAAGTGAACTGCAATGTTTACTATTTTTGTCGGCACACGCAAAGCGACACACAGACGGACGTTTCAGATTGAGGCCCGTCTTATCACAACTCAAATATCAATGCGCTTTTCAATTTATATGAAATTTAAGACCTTTCTCTGAAGACATGGGAATAAAAAAAGGCGGAATGTACTTTAAGCAAGTATTTGAAATGCATTATGTGGGTGTTACAAAATGACAGAAAATCTAGAAAAATGGTTCTTTTTTTTGGAAATTGGCGTTAGAACATTATTTACCGGTGTGGTTAGGTCCAATAGGCGTGATTCAGACTCGAAAGCGTTTAGCTGACGTGTGTTTCAGTGGTGGGTACAAAAGCTAAGATTTGCAATTCTTACATCAGTCGATTTGAGAAACAGGTAAATTGAGAGATATGTTATTGTTATAACTTTGTCATTAATTTTGGTAACGTGTTCTAAATCGAATTTTATGTTTGTTAACTGACTAGGCAAGCAACTTTTTCTTTGGCCAGTCACGTTCATGCACAAACTGTTGCATTTATCACTTTCATTTTCAAATTTAAGGCCTTTTTATCAGTATTATAATTACACTTTATGTTTTGGGTATCATAGACTTGTGAAGTGCTGCTTGAATAAGTACCTTTTCAATGGTCGTTGGCTTTGTCATGGTATTTTTATGTCTTTTATGATAAAATATAATTCTTTCGAATTCAATGCAAATGATCAATTATTATGGAATGGTCACTTTTACCATTGAAGGGACCCAAGTTAAAGCACAGAATACTAAAGAAAGGGCAAGCAAGACAGACTGAGCATTCAGTGAAACTTTAAGAAGACGCACACATTGTACTGGTAATACAGTATAGCGGTAGGCATACCACCGCATCATTCCATTATTTATGTGTTATATACTGAGTACTTGTACAGCAGAATTACACTTAACAGAAGTATCCCTATAAGAGAGAGCAAGACACATTCTAAAATGAAGAGGCACAGTCTGGTTGGAGCCATGGATTCCTTGAGGGACTATGTAGAAGACAAATACCACATTAACCTTGGCAACATCTTCATATTTGCCACTGTGGGATTACTCGTCTATGTATTCTGCTGTAGATCACGCAACAGGCGAAACCGGAAAAGAGAAAATCAGCAAAGGTCAGGGTCAGGACTCTACCCTGACCTTAACCAGGAAACTAGACGGAACTCTGTGCTGAACTATTTTGGAGTGGATGACATCAGACTCATCAGTGATCGCTTTACCTCGCTGGAAGAAGTCACAGAGGCAATTAGGAAAGCAGGGCTGGAATCCTGTAATTTGATTTTTGGTGAGTGTTTAAGTGAGCCTTTTTAAGAAAGGAGGTTCTTTAAATCCCAAGCAGTAACAAGTTACTTGTCGTTGAAACAAGTAAATTTCAGTTATCGTCAGCTTGGTTATGCTTAGAATGATTAAAAAATATTCACTGCTTTTTTTAAAGAACTTCTTTCTGCTTTAAAAATACATGTTCCAAGCTGGTGTTCAAGGCTCTTAACTTAATAACACATTCTAATTTTTTCACAGAGTTTTAAAACCTGCTAGTAGTTGTACTAGTAACCTTGAAGTTGTGTTTGTTGTGACAGTAGTATTTTGTGTGATTTAACCTCATATGTTTGCAACTTTATTTGGTCAGTTTTTACTAAACCAGTCTTAAAATGTGTATATAAAACTTGTTTTGAAAAGTCAGAACCCACAACTAAAAAAGACCCCCCCCCCCCAAAAAAAAAAAAAAAAAAAAAAAAAAAAAATAAATAAATAAATAAATAAAAATATAAAAAAAAAAAAAAAAAAAAAAAAAAAAAAAAAAA